TAACGATTAAATCCATAAATTCGAGTTCTATATTTAATACGCACGGTCTTTAAATCTGATTAACCAAAACATGTTTGTACACGAAATTTGGTAGATCGTGTTACTACCGCTTTATTGAGTGAGTTAATGGGAAGTTATTCTAAAGAATTAGGGTACAATTTAGGCTCAAGTTGTGTTACTGAATGGGAATGATAATGAAAGTAGTTGTATTATGAATATCAATTGCACTTTTAAAGCAAAGCTTTTAGATCGATTGTTTTATTAATTAGCGACCTTGAAACCCAACAGCATTATTTGTTAAAATGTCAAATATCTAACCTCTTATCTCATTAAGAAATCACAAAAAGTGGAGACAACTGGAGAGAGTTTATTTGGTATTGACCTTGAAACTCAATTACATTATCTGTCTAAACTTCATATATCTAACTTCTCAATTCGTTACGAAATCACAAAAGTGTAGCCGATTTGAGATATTTTAGCATTGAAGCTCAGTTACCTCGGTATCCAAAAAATATTTTGACGAATCAATACTAGGGGGAATGTTTTATCAATTGCACTTGCGATGACCCCTTACACAACTTGGAGGAACTCAATTCTGATGATAATACCATTACTCCCACTGTAATCTTTCATGTGTAAACGAGTGAAATTTTCTCTTGGATCCGGTTTATTCCCATTGTGACACTTCCCCAACCCCCCCCCCCCCCCCCCCCCCCCCCCTATCCTCCCCATATTATGGTGAGCATACCAAGGTCATTCGAAGTTGGGAGGTATGCGATGAAGCACGCAGAAAAAAATACATTCGTACTTTAAAAGGTAAAGTACAAATTCGAAAAATACACAATGCACTTGAATATTCATCAGTCGATAGCTCACCACCCTTTGTGTTGCTCCTGTCCATCACACAGCCTGTAAAGTAATTAAATATTTCAAGTGATGAGGTCAAATTTTGTTGAAGATGATAATACCATTACTCCCACTGTATTCATACAGGTATAAAAAGAGAGAAAGTATATTTTGAATCCGGTTCATTCCCATTGTGCCAACCCCCCCTCCCCCCGCCTCATAATATGATGGGAATATCAAGGTAATTCGAATTTGGGTAGTGTGCGCCAGAGAATTGTATGCCTACTGTAATTAATTTTGGATTGATAAAAAATGATACATGCTATTAATATGTCAATATATATATTTTTATGTCAGTTATTTGTTTTCCCAAACTCACGCAACGTAGTGATGTGGTGTGCAATATAGTGCATATCTAAAGAAAGTATAAAATATTTGATATCCATCCGTCGATAACCGCGTTCTCAGTGAATGAATCAACCCTACAAAGTAATTATTTCAAGCAATAAGGCAAAAGGGGGATTTTTCTATTTCCGTACTAAGACCAATTCAAACTAGATATTTGATTTTTTCACTATTTCATTGTTATAACTTTTGAAATGAATGTGGAACTTACTCAGTATTAAAAACTGTAGAATCAGTTAGCCTTCTTATTGGGAAAAAGTCCCTTTTTGAGAGCTTTCTTAAGGACTGATCCCAAAGTTACTCTCAAAATTCAAATTAAAATGGTTAGACTTGAGCATTTTCACTGGTTACTTCGTGTTCATTACTGAGCTCACCAAAAACGATCAATTCTATTGGCTGCTCATATATTCCGATTTGGTTAAATGCGTTTCTCTCTCAGGCAAGTCTTTTTCTGTGTTTTACCCACGTGAGTTTTGTTCATGCTCTTTGTAATAAAATGCGCTTGCTTTTAGGGAGTTAATGATTGTGTAAACGTTGGTTTCAGATCACAATGGGCTGCATGATATCTTGTGGTGTCAAGCTTGTTCTGCAAATTGTAAACCTAGCTCTCTTCGTGAGTCATTAAGAAGTCCATTGTTTTGATTTTGTGAGATACATTGCTTACCATTTGTTTTCCTGTTTATTTTAGTTAGCATTTCTTGCAGTAGGGATACTAGGTGTCATTTTAAAGTTTTCGAAGTCTGCGGTGCAGTCCTTGCTCGAAAAATTATTAAACGAATTTGAAGTTGGAGATGATGACATAAGGGATTTGACCAAATTCATGGTTGATAATGGTGGTAAGATCCCTACTTAAAGCAATTATTTTTCCACTAATATCTTGCGATTGCATATAAAATACACTCGTGAATTTTAGATGGATTTGCCATTATATTGATGGCTGTTGGCTTCGCTTTAGCAATAATTTGTCTTTTTGGACTTATTTCTGCTTGTTGTGGACCGAGTATACTATTGAAGATTGTAAGTAATAAATCTAATTGAATTTACCCTTCTAGTATGTAGCTGTCTTGATTCTACTAGTCATTGTTCAAGTTGTAGTAGTCGCTTGCCTGTTCAAAGATCATACAGCCCTACCGAGAATTTTAATAAGGGCATTTAAGGAGGCACAGCAGCATTATAACCAGCCTTCTGATGAAGGCACAACTTCAACTTCAGTCTGGAATTTAATTATGACAGTAAGCGTTGTCAATTTATTCCAAATTTATTACACTTTTACCTAGTTGAATGGATCATGCTGTGGTATTGACAGCTACAAGGAATTTCGTGAGTAATGCTGTTGTATTTTTTGCTTAATGTACCAAGATTTAAAAATGCTCAATTGTGAGTTTGTCTATTGCCTATTTTTAATCAGTGTACCACGATTTAAAAATAAATCTTTAATTTAAATTATGAAATTGCCTCTAGCCACATCTCCAACCCTCCCGTTGCAATGTTGTGGTTTGGATTCCAACTCAACTCAAACAACTTGTGAGGTAAGCGAGGCAGAGACTAAAAATATGCCCGGATGTCGAAAGAAAATTGAAGACTTTGTTTATACCAACTCAAAAGTAGTACTGTATATCGCTCTTGCAGGAATAGGTTTTCAGGTAAAAGATAACAACTTCAAAACAATTTTTGTTCAACAATGGCCAAAATATAACGATCCATTTTTCACTTTAAGGTTATTCTCATTGTCTTGGTTTTCCTTGCAATTTGCTGCTAAATTCGACGAAACCGTGGAACTATTTTTGTGCCCTTTTAAAATTTAATCTTCCTCTTCCATTGTGTTTTTTTTTCATTTTACTTATTTCACCAATTAAACTTTTTACGCACGACAATGGCGAATGTCATAATATATATTTCGCATAGCTTACGGCATTCCAATCGTAAAGCAAAATGATCTTGAAGTAAATAAACAAAAATTTAACCCTGATTATTATCGTGGCAAGGGAACGTTTAACTTTTTAATTTGCCTCTTTCGAAACGTCCTTTTTACGAATTCATTCATTCCTGCTTGCACCCGTTTAATTGAAGAGATCTTTATGCAAAATTGGGGCCTATTTTGCTTTGTAAACCTACTGAAGCGAAAAAAACTCAATGAAATTCCTGATTTCTAGTCCTTCATATGTTTAGTTTAAGAAAAGCACTTCGGTTTCAATTTTTATGATTTTGTATTCTTGAAAATGAAATCGATCTTTGCTTATAATAAAATCAACTACCACTAACCAATCAAGAATTAATTTGTTTGGATTACTGATTAGAGCCTATTCTACCAATCTAGGATCCACAATTTTGAAGGACTATTGAAATTTTGTCTACCATGCTAGAATGGGCAACGAAATGGGTGCCGAGCTCTTTCCCATAAGTCCCAATTTCCCACCCACATATTTCCTTCGATTTTATGCTAATTAGATTTTGGTGATTGAAAGACTAGAAATATCGGGCAGTACTTTGTATGTAAAGTCTTTAATTTAGACATATCTTTGGAGATGAAAAAGTACTACCACTATGTTAAACAAAGACGGGGCAATATTCAACTGACCCCAAAGTGTACCCTCAGTTCAGGTGCAATTGTAATGTGTAAAAGATGGAATTTCATAGAGACGAGGGAAAGGACTCCGATTTAATTTATGTTCTAATTTTGAATTTGGTGAACTAAGAGTGGTAGATCAGTTGTGAGATGAGTACGTGAAAATAAACGGAAATTTTGCATGAGCCATGGGTGCAGTGTTCTACTTACGCGCATGACATCCAATATGCGATTTGTTGGTCAAAAAGTGTTCCTGAATACAGATTTCATATCCGATGGTCATCAGAATAAACTCCCTCCTTCCTAATTAAGCACTGCTAACAACTGTGTTTATGTTTATACTCAGTAATGCAACCAATAATTTCTATTGGCAGTATGAATAAACTGAAAAAAACAAACTTTAGCTGACATTTCTTAGTTGATAATTTTATTTATTAAATAGCGTTGATTACTGTCTAAAACAATCAGTTGGCGGGTTCTCATGTATTAACTTTTCTCGTTTAATATGATGCCTCGATGCAGTTCAGTTATCTGCGAATGTTATCGATTTTTAAGTGTGTTCATTAGGAAAACACCGAATAGGCTACACCCTAATATTTGCTAGAAATTTGCGCAAATTAGGCCGAAATCGATCACCCACGACCTTAAATTCACACTGGAAGCATTTTTTAGCTCAAGAATTGCGATTCCACATATATCGCACATTTCACTTTGAGTGGAGTCATATGTTCTAATATAAAGGAAAAAACGAACTTTCTTGAATACCAAATTACTTTTTTAATGCCTTATTCAAAGTTAATAATTCATTATTTGATTGAGGTACACTCAATTACCTATTGACAGCTAACTAACAACTAACATTTTGCTTAAGTGGATGCAAATAACGAATGGCAAATGCTGACTAAATTGTATTTTAAAACATGAAACGTTGCTGCTGATAACAAACACTGGCAATATTTCTAGCCCATTTTGAAAGTGGCAAGTTCCCACTTCTAATTCTTAGTCCTTTAGTTTTTGATTGAGTTATTGTTTGAACCAATTCAAAATTTGAAAAATTTTTAATAAAATCGAATTATTGGTAGTGTCATTTTAATTAATTTACATTTCCTAATATTCATAATCAGGTGGTTTGATAGAATATTTGGAATAAATATGAGTTGAGGATAATAATTGAATTTACAAAGTATCAAAATTTGCAGACTTCACAAAGTTTTTTCTACGAGTGTTTTGCAGTAGATGTAGAATCGAAAAAAAACAAAACTCTGGTTTAGTAGCCTTCGTTCTGGAGATGTGTTGGATTCGAACAAAGGATCATCCAGAATCTCGACAGACCTGTGATATCACATGTCCATGATTAACGAGAGCAATTTATTGATTTTGAAACAAGTAAATAGGTCTTTGAATTACGTTTTAAGTGGAGAACATTATGACTTCTTTCATCGTTAAACACAAAAGACTATGTTAGTACCACGTACACGACTACCTTTTTCAATAACATGAGCACCAATTTTAAGCACTTTTATATAATTTCAAATATTGGGTTTCACTTTACCATGTCCATGACTCATCCACCGCACTCCACCTCAAGCTGCTCATTGCTTGATTGCTTTCTCGAAGCCCTACTTATTGGATTCTCATCAACATTCTTTCAAAGAATTATCCTGCCACATTCGACATGAACTTTTGAAGGCATTTGACGCAAACTTTCCTCCTTTTATTCCATTGATAACCTGATTGAGGTCGTCTTCAAACAAAAAACTTTGCATTCGTGCGGCTACATCTTTGTAGTTAGTGAAAACTGAGATAGAACGGAAAAGGCAGTGAAATAAATCCCTTACAGCAAGTAAACTGCATCCAGGGTCATTAACATAAAACAATTCTTGAGGTCATTTAATATCTTTATGTTTCAGTAATCGAACGGTTCTCCAAACATATTACACCAATTAGCTTTATTATTGATTTTGGAATGTATTTTTTTTAAATTTCACCTAGGTTGATATTTAAGAACTTGCGTCTAAATTACCCCACAAGGTGGGGGTACATAAATAGCAGTTAATTAATAGCAATTCATTAGCTGTCTTCTTGCTTCCCAGTATCTCTGGCTTTCCTTCGTTGTCTTTAGAGCTGGACACCGAATCAAGTGGATCTTCTCCATTTCCTCCTGTAGGTTACATAGAGGGCATGTGGGTTGAGTGTATACTCCCAGTCTGTGAAGGTGTTTTGCCAAGCAATCGTGTCCGGTACGTATGAATATACATTGTCCAGGGTAAATCACGTGGAGGTAAGTCTATCGCGCATCCCTGTTTTGGGACATTATAAATTCTTAACATAAACCGTGGTTCAATAGAGGAAGTTATTGTATTTGGTGTAGACGTTACTTACTTAATAAATATTATCCCGTAAAATATTTTTAAACCGATAGTTAGGGTATCAGTGAAGCCCTCTCTGCAATGGCTAAAGTAATATAGCCTATCTCCAAAGGGAGCCCCACTTAGAAACACTTCACTGGCAAGTAGGACATCCTAAGAACTATTTTTCTGATAAATCTAATTTTGAGCACCCAGAAATGTCATATGTCATAGGTAAATAAATAATTAAATAAAATTAAAAAAATAAGTTAAAATAAAATAAAATTGTGAGTATTCAAAGCCCAAGGGGTGATATCAAAGAGTACCAGTGTCTTAACGTTTCTTTCTTTCCCGTTATTCCGTTATTTTAATAAGGGGAGATTTAAATATCTTCCTTTTAGTCCAATTCCTTTCAATTCTTAGCTCTAGCCGTGGCTGCTGTATGAGCAATAACTTTAAATTTATTCACACGAGTATTTTATTGAATTTAAGTGAAGGTGACAAAATCTGCGAAGCAGAATATATTCACAAAAATGTTTGAATTGTAAAATGATATGGGCTAATAGGCCAAATTCATTGCCAATAAAACCGATAAGAATTCTTGGTATATTACCTAGAGTCGGTTTGTCAAGCAGGTAACGTCAATAATTGTTTGGGTATTATTGCAGACGAAATCTCAGTCATTCTCATTATGCCTGGTTTCGCTCTCGCAACTTAATGTCTCGTTGGGCGTATTGCTTCATGTTGCGGTTGTAATATACTACTTAAAATTGTGAGTAACATGGCATTATTCATTTGCTAATCTACAAATCGGATTGCACTGACTGTGAATTCCTGCTTAATATAGTATGCAGTAATTTTGATAATTCTCGTGGTGGCACAAATTATTGCCGTATCAGTTCTCTTTTCTGATTCGAATCGTCTCTCCGGCCTACTTGTTGAAGCCATGAACAAACTTCAACCAAACAAACAAACCTCACTCAGTGTATGGAATATATTGATGACGGTAAGACAACATTTACCCTAAAAATAGTTAAAGTATCAAAATATCTTAATTGAGAAACCGCTTAGAGTTCTCCTTCCCCTAGTTTGATAAACTATGCTGCGGAATTGATGAGTATGCTTAATCATAAAATTCACTCCTCTGTTTGAAATATTTAGAAAATTTTACGATTCCCCCACTTCAATGTTGTAACGTTACCCCAAATAAACCTTGTTTAGCTTGCGATCCAGTCAGAGCGGAAAGCGCCAAAATGCCCTGTCGCCTTGACAAAATTGTCATTTTCATCTCAGATAACCCTCAGACTCTGCCAATCGTTTACGTGGTGTATGGGTCTTCATTTTATTTTGATTTGAAAGACTTGAGTTTATTATGGTTGGGAACGGTTTTAGGCACATTTCCGGCCTAACGTTAAGACCTAATGCTAAATTAATCAAGTCAGATACCAACCGAAGATGTAACGAATGAAGGTTAACCTTCATGTTGGGTGGGGGGGGGGGGGGGAGAGGGGCTATTTCACCTGACCCAAATTTACACGATGGCTCGTTGACGAGACGAATGCAATTGTGCTCAAGTTTCTACACATGAATAAAAACCTTGGTGCCACAATTTCAGTTAAGTAAAATTTTATTTGTTGGTGGTTTATAGAAAGATTTTCCAGAAGAGAGAGATATATAAAGTGTCTTTTTTGAAACGAAAATAATGCAGTGCTGCCGTGTCGCATTGTTGGGAAACCCCATTAAGTTCTGCTTTATTTGTGTAATTTGGTTGTCATAGAGCAAAAATCAAAATTATGTCTGGAGTGGTAAGCTTCTTGGCAACGTCATAAAGCTTTCACCTACTGCAAATCAACTTTTCGAATATTGACCTCGTGAGTTAATAATACTGATCACATGAGGGCAAGTAGACTTTATCACGACAAAGTTCCTAACTTGGATTCATTTTATGAAAGTTCTAAGGTAAGCTATTGTTCCAGATCTATTGATTAAAGAAGGTTAGGTGGAAATTTATTGAATACGCCAGTGATTGTGTTAAGCATAAGTGTAAAGTGCAGCAACGGGTGTGCTATAGACTTAACTTGACGTGGTGCAACCTACGTAACGCATTCTTATGCAGCCGAAAATTCTACCAACTGGCATTTGAATTCTGACCTCAAACAATAGGCAATACTTAACCACTTCTATGATACTCACCTTACATTTGTGTCTGTCAATTTTGCATCAGTGAATTACTTTTCTTATGACTGTGACACTCCTCCCCTATTTGAGGAACGGAGAACACAAGACACTAAGTTAACTATTTAATCCATAAATTCCAGTTCAATATTTAACGCGTACGGTCTTTGAATCTGATTATCCAGAAAATGTTTATATATGAAATTTGATAGATCAAGTGTCTACCGCTTTACTGAGTGAGTTAAGAGCAAGTACTTCAGGCATTCAAGCTAAAAAAAGAATATAAAATTTAGGCTCGAATTGGGCTACTGAATGGGAATGATAATAAAAGCAGTCTATTTCTGAATATCAATTATATTTTGGAATAAAAACATTTAACTCGAATTTTTATTTGGTATTGACCTTGAAACTCAATTACATTATCTGTCTAAACTTCATATATCTAACTTCTCAATTCGTTACGAAATCACAAAAAGTGTAGCCGATTTGAGATATTTTAGCATTGAAGCTCAGTCACATCGGTATCCAAAAAATATTTTGACGAATCAATACTTCATTCCCTGAAGTTCATTGGTAGCATCTAGAGGGAATGTTTTATCAATGGCACTTGAGATGACCCCTTACACGACTTAGAGGAACTCAATTCTGTTGATAATACAATTGCTCCCACTGTAATCTTTCATGTGTAAACGAGTGAAATTTTCCGGTTTATTCCCATTGTGACACTTCCCCAACCCCCCCCCCCCCCTATCCTCCCCATATTATGGTGAGCATACCAAGGTCATTCGAAGTTGGGAGGTATGCGATGAAGCACGCAGAAAAAAATACATTCGTACTTTAAAAGGTAAAGTACAAATTCGATAAATACACAATGCACTTGGATATTCATCAGTCGATAGCTCACCACCCTTTGTGTTGCTCCTGTCCATCACACAGCCTGTAAAGTAATTAAATATTTCAAGTGATGAGGTCAAATTTTGTTGAAGGTTTTCTCTTAATACAGAGGCTACATTTGAATTTTTCCGAACAAGTGATTTCATCGTATCACTCTTTCATAGTTACATCTTTTAAAATTATTACGATATATACTTACTATTAGAAGGCACACGAGCGTCTAGCCATCTTTTTGTGAAAATGTCTAAAATAATCTAATCTCAGTTCACTTCAATTAAGCCCGCTTTGTGAGATTTCTTATAGGTAGAAACCAAATTTTTACTCGAGTTTCCACCCAATCATATAATGAATAGATCTATTTGTGCGTTTTCAATGGTTACTTGGCTTTCAATACTCTGCTTATCACAAAAAGGATAAATTCTATTGGCTGCTAGTAGGTTACAATTTAGTTAAATGTGTTCTTCTATCCCATTCTGTATATTGCTCGGTGAGTTTAGCATATACTCATAGTAGTTTAATGAGCCCACTTTTAGGAAGTTAATAATCACAAACATTTTAATTTCAGATCAAAATGGGCTGTATTATATCTTGTGGTTTCAAGCTTGTTCTGCAAATTATAAACATTAGCCTCTGTGTGAGTCAATAAGATGTCCATTGTTTCGATATTGGCGAAATATATGTTACTAAACATCCTCTTTCTCATTGTAGCTAGCCTTTCTGGCTGTAGGCGTACTCGGCATTATCCTAAAGTCTTCAAAGACCATTGTTCAGTCCTTACTCGAAAAAATATTCGACCGGTTTCAAGTTGGAGATGATGACATGCGAGAGTTGGCCAAGTTCATGGTTGATAATGCTGGTAAGTTCTCAACAAATAAATTGATTATTTGTCATAGAAGGTATAACTTTCGCATTTATTCCATGGTCTTTTTAGATGGATTTGCAATTATCTTGGCGTCTGTGGGCTTCGTTTTAGCAATAGTTTGTCTTTGTGGATTTGTTTCTGTTTGCTGTGGTTTGGGAATACTATTGAAGATAGTAAGTAATTCATCATGTTATTGGATGCTACTAGTATCTTTGAATACATATGCCTTAATTGATTGCGCTTACCTTTTCAGTATGCAGCGGTCTTAATTCTACTAGTCGTTGTGCAAATTGTGGTAGTTGCCTTCCTGTTCTCCGATCCTTCACAAATACCGAAACTGTTAATAAAGGCATTAACAGAGGCCCAAAAACATTATAACGGGACTGGCGAAGAGGGAAAAACTTCAACTGCCGTCTGGAATTTAATAATGACAGTAAGAGTTGCGAATTATTGCGATTGCAAAATATAATAAATTCATTTCAAATTTATTACGCCTTAACCTAGTTTGACGGATTATGCTGTGGAATTGACAGCTACAAGGAATTTCGTGAGTATTTTATTATTTTTTTTAATCATTGTACCATGATTTGTAAATAAACTTAAATTTAAATTATGAAATCGCCTCTAGCTACTTCTCCAACGCTCCCGATGCAATGTTGTCCTAATACAACTCAAACAACTTGTACGGAAAGCGAGGCACAGACTGCATCTGTGCCTGGATGCCGAGAGAAAATTGAAACATTTGTTTACACTAATGCAAAAATGGCCCTCTATGTCGCCCTTGCAGCAATAGGTCTTCAGGTAAAAAGATAACTTCAAAACAATTTTTGTTTATCAATTACAAAATATAACTATCCATTTTTCCCCTTCAAGGCCATTCTCATCGCCATGGTTTTCCTTACAATTTGCTGCTAAATTCGCCGATATATGCCTCGTCTGAACTTTTATTATACCCTTTTTTAACATAAAACCCTCCTTTTCCACTGCGTTTCATTTGACGTTTTGCCATTTCTTTTTTTCCTTTTTTCTATTATTTAACCAGAGTACTGTACACCACTGTGATTCTATAGTCGCTGTCAAATGACAGAAGCTATTTTTCAATAATAATTACTATAGAGGAATTCGAAGGATTTATATATTTATGTCGTTACTTTGACAAGTAGGCAACATTGCTGGTACTTCATAATTTAATAAAAGAATAAAAGATGATCGTAGGATATTTAAATTAGAGTTAACATTTTCATCATAAGTGGGTTGTAATTCCATGATGTAAGCTCTCGCGGTTCGTATTAAGTCACGTTTGTGTCATATGAACAGTAAGCACCATCTTTTTGTAGGCCTATTTTAGACATTTCACGTTCAGTTTAATCTGGTACTCCAATTTCGATTTCGAGATAAATGGAACTAGTGGCACACAAATTAACTTATATCTTACCTTATTTAAATTATTGTCTACCTATCTCAATGGCAATTTCTCAAGAGATTAGCTAGACTAAGCTATAGTGGAAAGAGACGTGTGACAAGGAATACGTTTTTAGGGACGCAATTGTCTGCTTAGTCGTTAAAATATGATGGAGAATTTGCTAATCACATGGTCTATTGATTGATGGCTGACTGAGTGGTCTCTGCACTCACGTTCCCACTTGCTCCCTACCAAACAAGTTGCTGGCACCAACTTCGAGCCTGCCTGAGTGTACATGAGATTTACATGACTTCATTGCAAAATAATTACCCCTACACAAAGGTCAAATCTGTTAACTAACAAATCAATTTTTGCTTCTCATTCAAATAATCAACTTTGAATTGAGATTTTATGTTCGACAATCCAATCTTAAATCGAAATTGCTTGGCATTAAACAAATAAAATTTTTTTCCATTATTGTTGCAATTGCAAGGAGATATTCTATGATGTCTTTTTTAAAAAATTTACGCCACTCGAAACTTTACGTGAGAATTCATTCATTCCTGCTCACACACGTTTAATTAAAGAAATCTGTATGGAATAAAAAAATTTGAAATAACTATCTGGAAAATTGGGGGCGTTTTGCTTTTGTGAACCTACTGAAGTGAAAAAAACAAATGAAATTCTTGGTTTTTAGTCCCTCATGTGTTTAGATTAAGTAAATTAATTTCGTTTTAATTTCATTAAATTTTCAGCTCTGATAAATGAAATTGATTATTTGCTAAAAATAAAATCAATTTATCACTAAGAAATTAAGTCCTATTTGACCTACACTTAAATCCTCGTTTTAAAATTTGGATTACCTTTTAGGGCACATACTACCTTGATTCGAATGAAAAATGAAATGTTGTCTACCATGCAACGAAATAGAAGTCGAGATCTTTCCCACAAGTTCCTATCTCCCACTCATATCTATCTATCGGTTTTATGCTAATTAGATTTTGGTGATTGAAAGACTAGAAATATCGGGCAGTACTTTGTATGTAAAGTCTTTAATTTAGACATATTTGTGGAGATGAAAAAGTTCTACTGCTTTGTTAAACAAAGACAGGGCAATATTCAACTGATACCATAGTGTTTATTCAGTTCATCTGCAATTTTGATGAGTAAAAATTGAAAGATGTGGAGGCAAGGAAAAAGACTCCGACTAAATTTGTTCTTTAATTTGGGATTTGGTAATCTTATAGTGGCAGAATAGGTGTGGGATGAGTAGGTGAAAATAAACGGAGTTGTTGGTTGCGCCATCGATGCAATGTTCTACTCGCATATATGACGTTATGTTATGGCATTATTTCTCATTAATGGTCATCCAGTACATGTATGACATTGATTATTTCGTCAAAAATAGTTCCGAATACGTTTTTTCAGTCGAATACACTCCCTCTTTATACGTCCTTTTATTAAACGGACGTTTCTCAAGCATTTTGTTTTATTTCTAGCAGCTAAGAGACTTACTTTTTCAAGTCAAATATGATATCTCTATGCAGTTTATTTAGGCTTCAAGGTAAGCGACTAAAACAGATAAAAATTTGATCAGTTATTTGCGAATACTATCGATTTTTAGCAGTGCTCATTAAGTCAACAATAATAAGATTCCTAACATGGAAGCACTGAGACTACTTTCCGATCTATACTCGACATTTCCCCAAATTAGGTCGATTTGATTACAAACGACATGAGATCCACACTGCAAGTGATTTTCAGCCCGTGAATTGTGACTCCACATGTACCAATTTTCGATTTGCGTGGAGTCATATGTTCTGTTTTGGTGAAAAAAAACGAATTTTTTTGAACGTCAAATAGCTTTTTTATGCGTTATTTAAAGATAGATATCCATTATTTGTTTGCAGTGCACTCAAATGTCTATTACCAGCAAGATCATATGACATTAATGCAAGTTGCTCAATTCGAGACAAATAACTTAATGTGAATATTAACTAAACAACACATTGAGACATTTGCTAAATTTACAAAGAAATAGAATTTGCAGACTTCACAAAGGTTTGTCCAAAAGTGCTTTAGATCTGTCGAGGTTTTGATTCTAAACATTTATTCTGAATTCGTGCTAGTTTTTAACCAAGAAAATTCATAAATCCCACATACATTTATTAAAAATAGGGAGTGGGGTGTCGGTAGAAGAGATAGTAAAACAACGCTAACTTATCTGTGACATAACAAGAACAATTTGCACTTGAACAATTTAATGAAGTAGAAACAACGTAATTATGGCATTAGGCGACATTCTAATTGCAGGCCAATATAACAGTTTTAGGTAAAACAAAACACAGAATCCGTGTTAATTCCATGTACACAACTACCCCTATCACTCATTTGAGTATCAATTTTCCACACTTTTAAGTTTCAAATATTGAGTTTCACTTCACCATGAGTCACATCCACCCCACCTCAAACTGCTCATTGCTTGATCACTTTCTCGTGGCTCTGAATATTGGATTCCTCTTAGTTTTCTTCAAGGGAATCATTCACCCACAGCCGATTAGAACTTTTGAAGGCATTTGACGCAAACTGTATTCCAATTATTTCATTGATAACCTGATTGAGGCCCTCCTCAAACACAAAAATTTGTATTCATATGCCTGCATTTCTACAGATTGTGAAGGCGCCTGCCTTAAAAAATACTTCTGTAAACTAATACTTCAAACATCGACGTCTTAATATTTTTAATAAATAATTTGAAGCAGTGTACAAATGGCACACTGCTTCAGAATATTTTCCAATTTTGGCTTGTATAGTTTTATTACATTTGAATAAATTAGTCCTAAGAATGACTAAACATTGTGATATCAAACAGGGAAGTGGTAACTCATTGAACATAAGTTGGTTAGAGCCATCGTCGAGATATTTATTTGAAATTTTAATTGAAAGAGGGTTTTATATAAGTGGAAAATAGAGAAAGCAAACCGGCAAATAGAAAATCCCCATTGTTTAATTAAACAGAAAAGTGGCGTTCTGTTGATTTATAATTATAATCAAGTTATTCAAATCGAATCGGTTTGATTTTTTTAATACTGCATACCAAACTAAGTTATATTGTATGAGCGCTTCAAATGTGGCCTTTGAGTTTACCTCATTTCAATGATAGATTTGATAAATGTAGGTAAATTTTTTAACCATTGCCTGTGTCATAAAAGGTTAGTAAAGTTCAAAACCTGTCTCTAGTTCAAAATTGTGATTTATCATTTTTTTGACTCTACCAAATGACAAGAACACGTTGAGTCATTCCTTCATGAAATGTACTTCAAACATCAGGATCAGTTTCCAATTAATTCAAGTGTGTTAATGCCTGCGATATTCTAATATTTTTAACAAGTTAATTAAATTTAATGTATTGGTTTATTAAGTTTTAATGTAATAAACAGCTATTTAGTACTCTCCGGGAGATTTTTACTAGGCAAATATAAAATTGTTTCTAACCTTTCTATTCCAGTCTCGGGTTCTGTTTCTACTTTTTCCTTGATTTTAAAAGTAATAAATTGTATATTATTTTCAATTTAAAATGGAAAATTCTTAATTCATTTCAGTGTGCATTTTTGCGTGGGATTCAATTTATTCGTAGTTACGTCAATTGGGAGTTCATACAAGTATGTGCAATTTGCGTGCTGCATAGATATTTCGTTAATTAATTCAAAAATTATGCAATATTCTGATAGAGTGCAAAATACATTAAAGCCATTTAAAAAACTAAAGGTTTCTATTTTAAACCAAATATCACATGTTCATTCACTGTGGCAACAACAAGAAAATTGAATCGGCTTAAATTGATGCTTTATTTAAAAGGACTCCACGACGCTAGTCTATCAAGGCTAATTTCTTCATACACATTTTTACCCTTGAAATAATAATCTTTAATACAAATCTATCTTAAGGACAATTTTCCAAATCCTTCAATAGACGAAGAGAAGTATTTGAAAACATTTATATCAAATGACAGACGTTTTGATGGTCAACATTAGCCCTTTAGTTGACTTCAGGCTTCACAGAAAGGAAGAAACATCAAAGTGAAAAAAATTCGAGAGGGGGGATGGAGCAGAAGAGTGTCTCAAAAACGAAGGTAGAAAAGGTAGAAAAATAGGTGAGGTGAGTACTGTGAAAGTAGCCGAATATGACATAGAGTGGGGTGATGGTAGTTTGAAGTGAGAAGTCAACTGCCAGTTAATAGACTTTTTTTCCGTATGAGTATACATTGCCCAGGGTGCAACACGTGGAGGTGAGTCAGTGAAAATTCCAATTCACAGGACACAC